CCGGTAATCGGCGACGAATCGAGGCGATCACAAGAAGCCCGCCATTCCTCGCGGCTTCGAGCCGTCTCCCTCAAAATGCGGCCTTCTCAGCCTCTGATATAATATTTCCACCGTCAGAGTAGACGATCTAGCAGTCCAGTCTGCACTTAAGGGTACTAGTCGACAATTATCGCTAACCACCTTTCGAGAGTGGGCTATGTTGCGTTGCTCACAACAGTTTCTTCATTCTGTTTTCGACGACAACTCCCGCTCGCTGTTTGATCAACGTGTTGGGGATGTGGTGTGGTCGAAATATAAAATTTCCAACAATCTTCTTTATACAGCTCTCTCAGTAAAACATGACTTGACACTCTTCAGCTTTAGTGAGTGACCATGTCTCAGGGGCACAACTATAATGCCTGGTTCAGTTTTTATTATATATGCCCACGGACTGTGTTATATCCGTTCGTGTTCTAATTAGACTCAAAAAAGTGTTGGTGGTGAAGTTTTGTGCAAAAGAACTGCATGCGCAAAAATGACACGGAGTCTTAGCCTGCTCAAACTGTGCTTAACGCTATGTTGGTCAGTCCGGAGAAGTGACAGGAGATGCAAAATGTATTGTAATCGCACTGAGAAAAAAATCACAAAAACGGATTATTTATACACAGCACAATCTATGCATGTAGAGTAATTTCGACGTTTTGGCAAGTGGAAGGCATGCTGTAATGCAATTACACATTATTCAACAATATGATTATTCAGCATATAACTTATACTTACTGGAAGACCAGAGTCTTTAAATCCTTTGAAATCAGATGATTTGCTTAGTCCGAATTCACCATCCTGTGGGGCCGAAATCGAAGAGAACGTCAGCGCATGGCCAACGGGCTGAAAAATCTTTTTCGCAGTGCTTGTGGTGACTGGCGGTACGGCGGTTGACTTGATTTCCGAAACAACAGCCGCTGCTGGCTTACCAAAGCTGAAATCGGCAAATGGTGACTTGGCGACTTCGGTCTTTACTGGAGCGCTCGCTTGCTGTTGCAGTAGCACTGGAAGACTGCGACCGAATATCGCCCCAGCAGTTGTTGTCACCGGTTTCGTCTTTTGCTCTTTCTTTGTATCTTGTTTAACATTTAAATTCAAGTTCAATTTGGGAGCCGGGAAAAACGCATCACTGGATGTCTGCTCCTTGGCAATGCTTTCTTTGGTAGATGCGCTACCAGTTGTGACTGGTGGCGTAGTTACTGAGACAGGTGGCTTTTCTACTCGTTCAGATATCAATGGAACCACTGAACTTGAAACTGCAAAAAAGACAAATTATTTCAAAAGCAAGTATCTTAAACCGTACTGCAGATTTCGAGGGTTTAATTTTGCGATAAAAGTAATCGCTTGACTGACTATGTTTGGGCAAGAGAATAAATTTCTTAACATAAAGCAGCATCTGTAACAAATGATGCAATAATCGGCAAGAAATTTCAGCTTTATGTGAACAGTAAAGCTACTGAGAAGCCGTTGCTTATTACTGCTTTTGACATCTAGAATAACACTAAAATGATTTATGAAATCAGAAGGAAAATTTCCAACCCAAAATTTTGACCTCCCGCATGTATCACATTTCAGTCATATCACAGAATTTGCTGCGATGATTTCTGATTCGAAAGCATCAATCGAAAGTGCCACTTTAAAAGACAGAATCGCAAGGTAGGAGGCGGACGAAGCCTATGATCTCTTGCCTGAAATTTACTTATTCACTCAAAAGAATTATAAACGGCTAGTCTGACTGAAATTCTAGTCCGCAATGCTGACTAAATAAGTTACCTTGACCTTAGAACATTAAGGCATGCATGTGGGTATAATTCTCTAGCCCGTAACATCTTAGCGTTAGCGACACAACGCCTCACAACTAAATTACGTAAACATCTTCGTTCGCTCGTTCATCGATAATGCTTAACTGCCCAATTGTGCTGACAGTGAGTCCTCCATCAATGTGATGTCTATCTAAAACTGAACAACGCCTACAATTAACAGCTTTTCACGTTTCATATCAACTTAGGGTACAAAACAGGTATAAAGTTAAAGCTCAATACAGAGTGTTTCATTACGGTACAAACGGTAGCATCATCATGTAAAGAATAAACATATTTTGAAGCTACGGCACAGCTCAGACCAATGATATCTGCAGACTCAGTGGTGGTTAGGAACCTTACTATCGTTTAGAAACGTATCAGCAGACCCCAATTTAATACGATATCGCAGAATAAAAATATTTATTACATACGCCTTGTTTTGCTTGATGAATGGAGTTCAGTGATTCTCAAAGATGCCTAGAATAGAAACTTTGGTCCTGTTATATGGATATATCTACTCTGACGCATGGTCTGTGAATCAGAATCATTTTATCGATCTTGTCGATACAAACACGTGTTCTGTCACGTGAAGTAAAGAATTTATTGACAAAACTCAGACCTATTAGCGCAGGACAAAAGTTTCAGTTGATATGACCCGCCTTTAACAGCTGCAAACAATACATAGCGGCATGGTGCTGCAAACTTTTTAAGATGTAATTAGAATAACGTTTTTTTGTCGAAGTTGACATAATTTTCTCAATGACAGAGATACCTACACGTCCTTAATTATGTACATGACGTTGTATCCTGTCTGGATTAAGAGTGCTTAACAATTAGTAGTTTCTTGCACTTGCCAACCGCTGTGACTATGGACGGGTCGCTAAAACAGACGCTGTGTTTAATGGAAATTTGGTGAAGACCCGACACTCAACGTATTTACTCCGCAGTTTGGTTCGTAATGGTCTCAAGGTTTCATCTTTGTTTCTTTTTCTCCATTTTAATGC